GTGAGCACGGTGGGATTAGTCTGACATGCTTTAGAACAATTTTTTATTGAAAACAAAAATTCTGTCGATTCTGGTTTGGTGTCATGTGAGGGTATTTCATCAAGAGGGTATTTCATCAAGATAAGTTCAATCGCTAATAAAAAACCAAAGCGGCTAACCTGTGAAACTTACTTATTTCTTTGTATAATTTGGAAAATATCAACAAAGAAAATCCACTGAAAGATAATTTTGTTGGAATTGAAACTCTAAATAAACAAGCAAACGATCTTAATATGGAAACGATCAGCAGAAATCAGGACATTCTAAAGCAGACATGGTACCATAAAAACAACACAGCAGATAAGATACTAACAAACAAATTAACAAGATAATTTGCAAATAAAGAATCTATGAGATACTTGATAATAATAAGATCTATCTGTCCCTAAAGGTATTGGCCACACCTTAACTAAATACTACCATGACTTGTATAATCTTTAACATTCTCATGAGACATAGAAAAATTCTTGGACAAATTTAACAAAAAATAAATGAAAGAGATCTAATTAATAATAACAGACCTTTCTAAATAAACAAATTATTCTCAGCAATTGATAAACTACACAAACAGAAAACACCGGGCCCAGATGGATGTAGTAGAACATTCTACAAGGCATTTAAGAGTGAAATTTCAAGATATCTTATTTCAGCATTTAACCAAGCCAGCAACACTTCAAATGTCCCTAGTGGAATGCTGAAAGTGATTGTAATTCCAATACCAAAAACCGAACAAAGATCTCACAAAAATGAAACATTACAGACCAATATCACTGATAAACGTAGGGAACGAGGGCTAGATTTTCTATTTTTAGTTTATCTAAGAAAAGACGTAACAGACAATTAGGATATCCCATTGTAACGGACCGTTTCAGCACACAAGGGGTAAAAAACGTTTAGTAGATCTTCCCCTTCCAGATGCACAGGCACAGATACTGCAGAACACCAATCCTCCGAACAGGAAACCATACGAATGCTCTAAACAGCCGAATAGGAAAAACCATACGAATAGGTTTACACTCCTAGCAGTCAAACTGGAAGAGCATACAATAAATCCCCCCAAGAACGAGACAAAGCTCCGTGTTGAGGGTCAAGCAGTGAACAGACAGAGCTGTGGGTTTATTGTGCTTATGTACACATTCTTACACATTAGTACCACCCACAGGGTTTTGGAACACAACCAATAAACACATACAATACATTCAGACACTCCCACACAAAATCCTCCCCTCTGCCTGTGATTCAATTACCTTACACAATGGGTAATGTAATTTAGCACAAGCAGAGAAATACAATTTTTCCACATTATTCATAACTTGAAAAGTATGCATCACATTCACATACATTTTCAGAATCCGCATACTCCAAATACAAACATACGTCAAAATCATACAAATTGGTCCAGTGGTTCAAAAGATAGATTGTAGTCCTTTGTGACCACAGGAAGCATGGCTTTTCTGCCCAAAACCAGTTCCACAGAGTCTTCTATCCTGGAGATAATTAGAAGTAATCCAATTATCTCCAAAGACTGAGGCAAAACTCCATTGATCACATGGCAGCAAAAAGACAGTAAAATACAATAAAATACACAAGGTTACATTTATGACATAAAATACAGACATGCAACATATGCCCAGATAGCTTTGTTCGGAGCGCACATTATTACTGAATGGCGCTCAGAGCACAAACATACAGTTCAATTGACATCGAGCCAAAGTCTTTCCCATAGTCTTTCATTATACGAATGGGCTCCATGGCATAGCTATCTGGGGTATCACCGCTCAAACAGGGCAAGCACCAAATGACCCGGCTTTCTTGTCTTTGCAGGGGAAAATCAAGCCTATTAACATGGGGCCATAATCCAAAGGCAACAGGCGAGCAACCAGGCTTCTCCAATGCAATGTGGCGAGATTGGTCTCGTCACACCCATAATTAAGCACATTTACAATTCCACTCGAATTAAACATATTCTTATGTTTCGAATTGAATCTTCTTTTCCCAACCATGCTACAAGATAGAAAGTGTTTCATGAATATTAAAAATGTATCTAATATCTTTTGGATCTGCCATCCTCAGGGAGGGAAATTCCCATGCAAAGGGAATAACTTTATCCTAGATAATATTATTTCCTCTTGGAACAACTTTAAGAAACTAGAGGGATTTGATTATAAAATTTTAAAGATTGAGGGGTGGGGGGCTGACTGCCTTTCCGGACATCTAGTGGGAGCTCCGGGACTTAATTTAACGAGAGCAGCTATCCCTGCAAATTGTACCCTCGTCGACAACACTCGATACTCCCGTAGTGCTCTTGAACTGATTAAGGTGTTATCGGAACGTGTATTGATGCCTCCAGGAGTCCACGCTACTGGGGGAAACCTGAGCTGACTTGGCGGCCTAGTGAATCTGGGAGAGTGAGGAAGCGGCCGTTCTCTGCCCCAGACCTGTGCTGCCAACTGGGACTACCCCTTTCTGACCAAATAAGCTGGCAAGGCGTTGAGCTAATCGGATAGCTATTGTTCTTAGTTTAATTTATTGCTTTTAATCTCTTTTGTTGGACTCTCATTTATAGCCTGTTTGGGGGCCTCCGAGGGGTGTGTTTACACGAAGCTAAACGGCTTGTCTGCCTATACGGCTAGGCGCTGTCTACTCTATACAGTTTATTCCCAGTGCATAAAGCCGGCAAACTTCCTACCCTACTGTTCTTATCAATGTGCACTCTGCTCTTCCTGTAAATTTTATTTTCTTCACAAAAACGTGCTGGTTTTTCTGTACACTTCAAATACTATGATGTGACAGGTTACTTCACTTCAGACTTACTCTTTGTTCTGCCACACACATCAAAAATAAAGTTTTTTTTTAAGTTTAAAGAAATCGATGTGTTGCAGGATATCAATTTGACAAATCGGCACCTTGCGGGTATCATAAACATTAAAGGACCACTCTAGGCACCCAGACCACTTCAGCTTAATGAAGTGGTCTGGGTGCCAGGTCCTTCTAGGGTTAACCCATTTTGTCATAATTATAGCAGTTTCAGAGAAACTGCTATAATTATGAATGGGTTAAGCCTTCCCCCTAATCCTCTAGTGGCTGTCTCATTGACAGCCACTAGAGGCGCTTGCGTGCTTCTCACTGTGATTTTCACAGTGAGAGCACGCAAGCGTCCATAGGAAAGCATTGTAAATGCTTTCCTACGCGACGGGCTGAATGCGCGCGCAGCGCTTGCCGCGCGTGCGCATTCAGCCCAGGAGGAGGAACGGAGGAGGAGAGGAAGCAGTGAGCTCCCCGCCCAGCGCTGGAAAAGGTAAGTTTTTAACCCTTTCCTCCTTCCAGAGCCGGGCGGGAGGGGGTCCCTGAGGGTGGGGGCACCCTCAGGGCACTATAGTGCCAGGAAAACGAGTATGTTTTCCTGGCACTATAGTGGTCCTTTAATCATCTTCTATCTGATTATGTTATCAAACCTTTTTCACAATTGAGCAAAGAATACAATGTACCCTCTAAAGATGATATTATTATTATTATTATATCTAATTATATAAGAATTAGGGGTTTTCTAGATTAATTTCTACACTAATAATTCTGATAAAATGGAAACGTGAGTAAATTAGATACATTTCACTCGGAAAATTATTTCGAAATGCTCTTTATTACTTACCTTGGAAACTTAAGAAACACCAAGCCCTATCATGGAACAATGGTCCCAAGACTGAAAGATTCCCATCAACCACAAGGACTGGTTCAAGTCTATTAGAATAATTAGTAACCTTATACATGGTATGAACAGCATTTAAGCTCATGCATAGGGGGCACCTTGTTCCTTCCAAACTAGCTGCCGTAACCCTCATTATTCCAAGGAAGGCTCTCTCTTGCACATTTGGTGGGAGTTTGATTGAATGAAACCTTTATGGTTACTGGTATTTATAAGCTAAAATTACTCACCAAACC